TGTACCACCGAGCTATATCCCAGCCCAGACTTTTTTTTTGAGTCAGGGTCTCAATATGTAGCCCCAGCTAGCCTAAAACTTGCTATCCTCCTGCCTCAGCCTCAGAAGTGCTGGGATTATAGGCGCAATCACCATACCTACCTGGTGCTGGAATTCAATTTTTTTTTCCTGTGGTACTGGAGTTTGAACTCAGGGCTTACACCTTGAGCCACTCCACCATCCCTTTTTTGTGATGGGTTTTTTCAAAATAGTTTTTCAAACTATTTGTCCAGACTGGCTTTGAACCTTGATCCTCCTGATCTCTGCCTCCTAAGTAGCTAGGATTACAGGCGTGAGCACCCAGCAATTTTTTTTTTTTTTTGGTAGTTCTGGGGTTCAAACTCTGGGTCTCACACTTGCCAGGCAGGGAAAACACTCCACCAGTCCTGTAATTGAAATCTTGAACAACGAGTCTCCCAGCTTCTTTGGTTAGAAGTCCTAGGGCAGCTCCACCCAGAATTCTGCTCACAACAGAAGAGAGAGCAGCACCATTACCATACTACTATTCCAGGACAGAGAGAACATGTTACCTATAGATCCCCTCCTCAGAGGTATTAATAATGACAGCTGTCATTCATTGAATGCTTGTATTAAACAAAGTTTTATAATTTCCAGCCCTCAAAACAACTCTGAGAAGGTTTGAAATATTTTACTATCATCTAAATTAAATATACTGGAGATCAAGACAAGTATAAATGCCGCATGCTTACAAGCTTTTATAGAAACACGAAGCTAGAAAATTGCCAACCGACAGTATTAAAATTGATATAAACAGTCAGGCACAACCCGGGCACCAGTGGCTCACACCTGTAATCTTTGCTACTCAGAAGGCAGAGATCAGGAGGATCACAATTCGAAGCCAGCCCAGACAAAATAGTTTTTCGAGACCCTATCTCGAAAACAAACCATCACAAAAATAGGACTGGTGGAGTGGCTCAAGGTAAAGGCCCTGAGTTCAAACCCCAGTACCAAAAAAAAAAATCACCCAGGTGCCAGGGGCTCACACCTGTAATCCTGGCTATTCGGGAGACAGAGATCAGAAGGATTGCAATTCGAGGCCAGTCTGGGCTAGTGAGATCCTATCCTAAAAATATTCAATATGGGGGTGTGTGTGGCCTAAACAATGTTTATACATGTGAGTAAATGTAAAAATGATAAAAAAAAATTCAAAATAAAAACAGGCTGGTGGAGTGACTTAAGTAGTAGAGCACTTCCCTAGCAAGTGTGAGGCTCTGAGTTCAAATCCCAGTACTGTCAATAAATAAATAAACAAAGTTGGGATAAACATTATTTGATATTACCAATTGGTCTTTTGGCTGAAATTAAATTGCTTAATATTATATTTGCTAAAAACCAAATTGAAACAAATCTGCAACCCTCAAAATTACATATTCTATTGGCATCCCCACTGTAGATGAGGAAACAGTACTTTAGAGACATGAACAATGCTTCCCAATGTCAAATAGCTGAATGTTAAAAAAATCAACCAGGATTACGGAAGAATCCCAACTGCTTGATATTAGGGTTCAGTTGCCAGAATCTTGGGCTGCCCCTTCATTGAAATGGTAGCTAATAAATGGAATGGCAGAGACAGAGATTATCTCTTCTAAATATACTCAAGGTCTAGGATAAGACAAGAGCTTGTTAAAGGTTTGTTAAATGAATGAGTGATTGAGTGGGTGAATTTGGAGATAGTTGTTTTCAAACAGTTTGCTGACCCAGACTGTAATTCAGTACTCTCCACTTGCCACTGTTGCCAGAAGACCTTTCCACCTTATTACACAGAAGCTAGTCTAATGGCATTAGCCATCCCAGCCAGCCATGATACCATTAAAAGCTTCAGTCCAGCCACTGTGTCCTCACCCCAGTCTTGGCTCTGGGCCCTGGACTGGGAGAGTGGTCTGGTTGTTTACCAGGATTTTGGACCTTCTTCAGAGAAAAGCACAAATGACCTATTAGTCTAATTCAAGCACTTAGCAAGGAATGACTGTACCATTCACACCCACAGCCCCAGGCTAATGGAGCTAAGGCAAATGGAGAAGACTTGAAGGCTCAGAGATCTTCCTGGGAGGGGAAGGAGGGTGGACCCAATGCCCCAATGGAGTTTTCAGGGAAGCAGCTTGGCTGAGTATTTCCTGGGACTGGGCAGGCTATAGGGATACAAGAATGTACAGGGAGAGGCTTGCTTATTCCACCCACCACTCTGGCAGCTCTTGTATACATTCTACCCCAGTCACCTCCTCACTGCCTTAAAACTTGGCTCAAAGAAAAATAGAAGGTGCTATGGCTTGAATATGGTTTGTTCCTGAAGAAACTCATATTGCAGTTTAATTCCCATTGTGAGGTATTAAGAAGGTGGGAACTTAATATAACTTTGGTGCTTAGAAGCGGGGCATTTGGGTGGTGATTAGCATAGATACCGTCATCAGTGTGGAGCTCCCGTGATTGAATATGAGTGGCTTTATAAGAGAGAGAGACTGGAAGATATACAAACGTATGCCTCCTGTCTCACCATATGATTACTTACACCACCTTGGAGCTCTGTCAGTAGAAGAAGGCCATCAATGATGGCCTTGGCTTTGGACCAGAATTGTGAGCCAAAATAAACCTCTTTTCTTTTGGACCATGCCCTGCAAAAATTCTTTTCTTATAACTTGCCCAGCCTGTGGTATTGTGTTATTAGCAACAGAAAATGGACCAAGTCAAGATGACAATCAAATGTCAATCCATACAGAGCTGGTTAAATAAACTATATATGTATGAATATGCACTCATACAAATCCATGCTGTGCAGCTGACAAAAAGGCTAATGTAGCTCAAGCTCTCATTCTAAACGCTGAGACATATCTATGACTTTCACTTTGATATGCAGTGTGTGGGCCAGAGGTGTGGCTCAAGTGGTAATGTACCTGCCTAGCAAGCCAAAGCCCTGAGTTTAAACACCAGTACCACCAAAAAATATACTGTGTAATATGAAGTGTGTGACCCCACTTACATAAAATTAAACATGTCAAAAGACTCTCATGACCACAGATATACAGGGAGTAGTCCAGAAGTTTCTGATTGGGATGTTAAAGATTTTGCTTTCTTCTTTAGATTTGTCTATATTGTCCAAATTCTCTACAAAAGCCATATGCCATAATTGTTCACTTTTTGAATTCTTATTATATGTCCGGCACACTGCTTTTACATGACTTACTTCATTCTTTGAGATAGGTTCTAAGCTTTTGCATGTTACAGATGTGGTGAGTGAAGCCCAGACAGGTTAAGCCCAATATCACATAGATCCATGACTGACAAAGTCAAAAGTTAAAGGAGGATTACATGAATTAACAAATATAGGGCTAGGGGTATGACTCAAATGGTAGAGTACCTGCCTAGCAAGTTCAAGGCCCTGATTTTAAATCCCGGTACCATACACACAAAAAATTAATGAATATACTTACAAACAATAGGTGTAAATAGTACTTGACATTCAGTAGGGGCTCTATAAATGAGGGTTAATATTATAATTATTGTATAGCATCTATCAAACTGCATTGTTTTTATTTAGTTAGTTAATTAGTTGGGACCAAGGTTTGAACTCAGGGCTTCATACATGCAAAGCACTCTACCAGTTGAGTTGATTATGCTCGGTTATTTTGAAGAGGGGATTGGGCAAGATGATTGCCTGGGCTGGTTTCCAACAATGATTGATCCTCTTGATCTCAGTCTCCAAAGTAGCTAGGATTACAGGCACTGCAACACATTGCGTTTATTAATTGTCTTGTCTATTTCCCTGTTCTGATATGTGAAAGGTTTGAGAATAGCATGAGTCTTATTCCTTGGAACCTTCTACATCTAGCACAGTGTCTTGCAGAGCCAGCATTCATCAGATGCTTATTGAAGGAGTGAATGAATTAATAGACAAATATCTACAGCTCTATAAATACATTATTCCAACTACTTTTCATGAGTAGGTGTTTCCTTATTCCAACAGGATTAAATTACCTGAGATCAAGGACCAGCCTCTGCTATCCTCTGATCCCATTATGGTCTGAAGCAGATCAATAACACAAGCAGGTGCTCAATAAATGCTATAGTTGACTAAAGGTCCCTTTTTCAGTTTCTGTGGCAGATCCCAGGAAGTATCCCAGAATGGATAAAGCTGGGATAGATACCAGGTCCACAGCCTCACTTAAACTTTTTATTTCCAACTCCATGTCAAGAACACAGAGGCTAAGAAATTTGGCTGAAGTCATATAGCAGTTGGTAACAGGGTTACTGTGTCTCCTTATCACTTGACCTATGCCCTTGTGTCTGTAACACCCATAATTCTGTATGAATTCACAAGTTGAGAAAGTAGGAAAAGAGCAAAGTCTTAGATCAAAATGTTTAATCATGATTCAAGGGGCCAGGGAGACTTGGGGACAGTAGTAGGAATAAAGCAAGGCCCAAAGCTTTAGCTCTTGATGCCCAAATGTTCTCCAGGATCCCAGTGCACAGCAGTACAGGCAACAGGCTCCCATCCTCCATTCAGAGGAGTATGGGACAAAGGGACAGGAGTCTTGCTCTAACCTTCTTCACAAGGGGAATGTCTTTCCAGGATGCCTCAGAACTCCCAGCCCTGACTATCTGGAGAATACAATAGGGAATGACTGATTTGTTAAACTCTGGGTGATCCTGGTGGATAGGAAGAAGGGATCAGGCCGGGATGGTCACCACCAGAAGATATGGCTAAATTGTGGTCACCAAGTCTTAAGAAGGGGCAGCCTGAGTCAGAAGCAGGGGGAAGAAAGGAGGGAATGAGAACTAGCCAATCAGGATCTGGACAGAAGCCATAGCCCCTAACTTCTACAGTGGCCTCATCTGGAGTCAACAGGATGTGTCAAGTAGGATGCTAGGTTGGGTCAGGGTAGCCATGTTGTGCATTTCACATCCTTCTGGAGGCTGTCCTTTTCTCACCCTTCACAGGCTGCAAGTCAAGGTTGCAATAGGCTCCAGAGCAGAATCAAAGTAAATGTGCAGGAGAAAAGAAAGGGCACCCTGGGCTGAGGCCTCACAACAAGGTTTTTGACCTGTGGAAGAAATGTAATAGAGTCAGCTCAGGGGACTATCTCCATCCTCTTCGGTCTCAATAAATACTGTCCCCTTCTCCTAAGTGTACACTAGAAGTCTATAGTATTTGTGGCAACAAGGAAGTCAACCCTTCTGCCCCCATCCTTTCATCTGCTTGGTTTGGGTTTTCCCCAGCTGGTACAGTAAAGGTTTGAGGGGTGTAACAGTGGAGGCCCTACCTGGTGTTGCATCAGAGAGAAGGTAGGGTCTGCCCAGTCCTGCGAGAAGAGCTGGCTGTGGAAACGCATCTTAACCTCAATGGCCTCCACTGAGCAGGGAAGAGAAGTTAGACTGGAAGAGCATAGTGGCAGGAGATTTCTCAGACTCTCAAGGTAGGAAGGTCATGGGGCCCTGAGATATAAGGGAGCAGGTGGATGGAAGGAGGGAATGGGATATTGGTCTTATTCTGCTTGCTTGTTCCTTGAGCTAAAGATGTCCTTTGTTCAGACAGGTTGAACAAACAGCATGAGGGGTCACTCAGGAAGTGGGGGAAGGAAGAAAGGCCTAGGCTTGGGGGAATGGAAAAGCCTATGCCAAGAAGAGGGCTTCTAGGGCTGAGGGCATGGCGTAAGAGGCACAGCACCTGCCTAGCAGGTGCAAGGCCCTGAATTGAAACCCAGTACTGCCTAAATAAATAAATAGATAAATAAAAGAGGGCTTCTGTGTCTGAAGAAGATGGAGAGGATCATCCTGGGCCACAGAATTGACCCTTCCCCTCCCCATGGTTCCAGCTGACCTGCCACAGGCTGGGGAACAAGAATGTACTCACTGAGACAGGAGTTGTGAGAGAAAGACCCTTCCAGCTGTTCACACTCCTCCTGCAGGTTGCCACTGCCTCGGCAGGTGCAGTTCAAGGCAACACTAGTGTTGATGTTGCTGATGAAGTTGGGGGTCATGGCAGTCCCTATTGAGTGAAGAGGGGAAGGGGGTTGTTAAGGTCTATTCTAACCCTAGCTTCAGTTTCTACTTTCTTGTCCTTTTTTGAGGTACTGGGGTTTGAACTTAGGGCTTACCACTTCAGCCACACCTCCAATCCTTTTTGCCAGTCTCTGAGTAATCTTCCTGTCTCCACTGTGATTACATGCATGCCCCACCACACCTGGCCCCAGTTCCTACTTTCTTCTAGGGTTCAGTCTCCAGAACATTCTTACCTCAGGGATGATCAACCTCTGGGTTCCCTACTCATGCTCCAACCTTACCAATCAACCCCAGGTATGCTCGAAGACATCTGGACTGCTCTGTCGTACAAGTTCCTAGAATGTCCATAGGATGACAGTGGGTCTGGAAATCCATCAGGCGTGATCTGGAAGAAGAGAAATTTCGAGAGTCCCCAGTGAGGGTCTGGCCTTCACTCTTACTGCCCTGTAGCTCAGCATGCCTATCTTCATGCCAACTCCTCCTCTCCCTTAAGTGCCTGGCCCAGGGTCCCCTCCTCAGTGAAGCCTGCCCCATCACAATTAAATGAACCATCACCCCAGGCTCCAAAGCATAGCCACAGTGCCTACTTATGAGATCTCAGGCAGTTTTGTTCACTTCAGTTTCCTTAAATATAAAATAGGATAACCTGGTAGTTTTTTTTTTTTTTTGGTGGAACTGGGGTTTGAACTCAGGGCTTCATGCTTGCAAAGCAGGAGCTCCAACACTGGAGCCACACCTCCAGTCTGTTTTGCACTGTTTTGTTTTGTTTTCTTTTTTTTGGAGATGGGGGGTCTTCTGAGGTATTTGCCCAGGCTGGCCTCCCAAGTAGCTAGAATTATAGGCATGAGTCACCAGCACCCAGCAACCTGGCAGACTTTGGTGAAATGAAATAAGAGAATGCATATATAGCATTCAGAGCATTGTGCCTGGCATATATTAAGTGTTTAACAAATGTAGATATTGTTATAATAACACTCATTCTTAAATAATGCATGTTCTTCTATATATATTTCTGTATTACATTTTACCTTATGTTAGGCTAATGGTTTACTTCTCCGTCACCTCCCACTGAACTGGGAATTCCTTGAAGGCAGGGACAATATCTTAGTTATCTATCCCATGACCTGATAGACAATAGTAATAGCCACAAGTACAGTAATATGCAGTATAGCAGAACTGTTAAGAGCACTGACTCTAAGCCTACATTCCAAACCTAACCTAACAAACCTGACTTACTATCTGGTGGACTTTTACAAGTTATTTAGCCCCTCTCTGATGTGGTTTCTTCACTTGTGGAGTGAGGGTGGTTAAAAAAAAAAAACATCTATTTTATAGAATTCTTGTGACGTTTGGATGAATTAATACATGCTAAGTACTTAAAACAGTATCCAGCTCTTAGGAAGTACTCAGTAAATGTTAGGATTATGATTATTGAGAGGTCTGATTATGTGATATTTTATAGATGAAAGTAGCAGTCAAGGAGGGTAAGTAACTTGTCTAAGGTCACAAAGAAGTAAAAGGTGGAACCAAGTTGAAAGACAAGGTTGGTGTGTTTCTTGTCAACAATGTCATTTGGTGAGCATTTTGTACTCAATAGGCAGAAGAAAACCAGATCAGAATTTCAGATTTTGAGGATGAGGGCATGGCTCAAGAAGTAGCACTTGCCTAGTAAGTGTGAGACCCAGAGTTCAAACCCGGAACAGATTTTCCAGGCTGGAGGTATAGCTCAAATGTACAGTACTTGCCTAGCATGCTTTAGGCTCTGGGTTCAATCCCCAGCATGGCAAAAACTTAAAACTATAGTCAAGTTCTTAAAGGACAATAAATGACAAAATAAGCACCATCATTTATTAAATACTACCACATCTGAGCACTTACTCTGCTCCAGTAAGCTAAGCACTCTACATAAGTAATTTAATTCTGACCAGAATCCCAGGAGGTCTATATCATTATCCCAGTTTTTGCAAAGAACTAAATAGAACCTTAGGTTAAGTGATGGAATTTTAGGTTAAGTAATATGATCAAGAACATAGAATTTAAACTCATATCTGTCTGACTTCACAACCTATCTAACTGCCTCCGTGGGTGCCATAAATGAAAAAAAACTCAAGACACAAATATATCCCCAGAGTATCTATTTTTGTTGTCAGCATAGAAAAATGACTGTTAGGAAATGTCCCTCAAAATATGGCATATTATCTTCAGGAGAGGAAATGTTGAGGGTCTTTATACATGTCTGAAGTTTTTACGTTAAAAAAAAAAAAATTTCCTCCCTCCCCCCCCCACCCCCGCTCCGCCCCCAGGTGACCTGGACATCAGTGGACGTCAGTGGCTCTTTCTGGTAATGCTAGCTACTTGGGAGGCTGAGAACGTTCGGGGCCAGCCCGGAAAATAGTTCGTGAGACCCCATCTCCAAAACAACCAAAGCAAAATTAAACTAGAGGTGTGTGGCTCAAGTGCCTGCTTCGGAAGTGTGAAGGCCCAGAATTCAAACCCCACTCCCGCCAGAAAAAAAAAAGACTGGGGGTGGGGAGTGAGTGATCTCACTATGTTGCCCAGGATTGTCTTGAGCCTCTGGACCAAAGCATTCTCCAGCCTCAGGCTTCCTATTGCTGGAATTACGGAACGTGCCACTGAGAAGAGCCAAAACATTTCTTTTTAAGAAAAGAGTCTCAAAATATATACAAGGTGAAGCAGCCAATAATTGGTTAGACCCAGCCAGGGACAGGAAGGTGGCCAGAAGTAGTGGCATGTGCCAGTCCCTACCTACCCTGCCAACCCACCCCCGGCACCTGCACAGCGGGTCCGCGTGGCAGAGGCTCCTCAGCTCCAGACAATTGGGGACCTCAGATGGCAGTGCACAGCTTGGGGCGATGGTGTTGCGCCTGCGCTCCCCGCAGCCGCGGTCGGTGGGTGCGCACGGGCACAGCAGCAGGCCCTGCGCGTGGGACTGTGCCGCCTTCTCGAAGAAGGAGCGCAGCTGGGCTAGGCAGGCGTGGCGCTGGCAGCGGGGTCCGGAGCATGCCATCCCGTAGGCCTTGCGCAGCCGGTCACACTTGTCGTTAAGAGTACATAGCATAGCGAACTTGAGGCAGAGGTCGGAGTCTGTGGGGAGAGGGGCACCAAGTCACTAGGCCAATTCTTTTACGTACACCTGCAAGTCAGAATCCTAGAAATCCTGCAAAGCCCTGATTTCACAATGAAGTAGTGGGGTAGCAGGAAAGGGAGGATTGTCCTGAATGAAATCACTCCTGACTCAGGGCTTTCCCTCTACCCACAAACTATATCTGGTTCTGTGAGCCCTCCCTGTTTCACTCCTCATCTTGACTAGGTAAAACCATCATCACCACCACCATCATCATTATCATCCATATACATCTAACACCCAAACAACCAGAAAGCATACATAACCAAAACTTTTTCCTTAATGCTGTGCTGTGAGATCTGATGGTGGAAATCATAACCCAGGAGCCCTACACCATTCTAGAACACTTTCTGAACTGTTCAGAACAGATGCAAGCAAATTCTTTTTAGGTTTGTTTTGCACCTGTCTGTTTATCTTTCATTTACTGATTTATGAACAAAAGTTCCCCATACTTGGAGTTTTGGAAAATTATAGTGATATTTCCTTTTGGGGGGTAGGTGTCAGGGGGTCAAACCCAGGAACTCATGCATACTAAGCACACACTGTATATCACTGAACTACACTTCCAATTCCCTGGTGATGTTTTTATTAAAGGAATATTTCAACAGCCAGAATTATCAAGTAACTTGAGCAGGTTATTCACTAATTCCTTGTTAAAAAAAAGAGAGGTTTTGCCTGGTGACAGTGGCTCATGCCTGTAATCCTAGCTACTTCAGGAGGCAGAGATCAGGAGGATTGCAGTTCAAAGCCAGCCTAGGCAAATAGTTCTTGAGACACTATCTCGAAAAAACCAATCACAAAAAAAGGACTGGTGGAGTGGTTCCAGGTGCAGGCCCTGAGTTCAAGTCCCAGTACCGCAAACATAAATAAATAAAAATAAAAATTGGGTTTTCCTCAAAATTCTAATTCTAATAAGTAGAACTGACTATATAACAAATTCCATTTCTTTCTCAAAAAAAGGTGCATGTGGTGTATTCTTTCTCAGTTAACTCAGCTTCACTTTGTGGAAAAAAACAAAAACATACATCATAGTCCTCACCAGACTGATGGCTCTGCACCCTGAGCCACCCCTGCCTGTGGGAAGTCATACTCTCAGTATTTTCTTTGCCCAACACCACACCCATCCCATTAGAATGGCTGGAAACAAGCAATTTTCTAGTCTTTAGGGACAAAAAAGCTACTTTTTCTGACTGCCTTGAATGTGGGTAAATACTCCATTTCAGTACATTTCTCTCTGCAATTGCTGCCATTCCCACCATACCTTTCATAGGGATCAGGGGGCCCTAATGGGCTCTTTTTGGAAGCCTCCTTAATAATTACTGGTTTTGGATGATTCCTGTGAGAATAGACCATGCAGCATAGCTAAGACTTCTACCCTGACACCGTGTTTCTTTAGTTACCTGGCAGGCTAGAAACTCTCACCTATAAACCCTCCAGTTTATGCTCTCCTCCCTTCCCCCGCTAAGCCACCAGCCACCCTTTCCTCAGCCTAGGCCCAACCTTCCATTCCCAAGCTGAGGCTTGCCCTCCACACCTGGTTTGAGCATGTTCAGCTTGCTGAGATTCATTTTCCAGGGTTTGCTGGTCACTGTGTCTTCATAGGGGGAGCTATCCAATTCATAGTCACCTAGAAACAAGATAGAGGGTACCAGATGCTGAGGACCAGGATAGGGCAGGAGTAGAAGGGGTTAAGGCTCTGGGTCAGATCTCAAAGCCCTGTGTAGCAAAGGAAAAGGCAGAGACTCTACCTAGCTAGCTACAAGTTGTGCAGAGATAACAAAAATGCAGAACCATAAAGGTATAAGTTAACCCTGATGAATAAACTGATGAGAATAAGGGGGACCATTTGTTAGGTCCTATGGTATAAGTTTATATATATATATATGTATTCACATACACATATGTATGTTTATATATGTACATGTATATACACATACATACATATATATATACATTATCTCATTTCATCCTTCTAGAAGCCTTTGGGTAGATAAGAAAAAACTGAGGATGAGAGGGTCACATAAACTAATAAAAAGGGGAGCCAGGATGTGAAATCTGGATTATCTCTGATCCAGAGTCTCTGCTCCTAATTAATACACATATTGCCTGGGGGAACACAACCAGGTGAGGGAAATCCATCTTGTTTTCTCTTGTTATTGAGGAGGGGATGGTAATGGATTCTGTTCCAGGCTTGTTATGGAGACACATGACATATGGGAGAAATGGAAGTGAGGTCAAGTACTGAACTGAACCTAATTGAGAAAAATAAAGAAAATAGACCATTGTCTCACAGCAAATGCATCTCTCAGTCACCCATACAGGACTGTGGGTCCCTTAAGGGGACTTTACTAGGTCTTAGTAAATCACTGCATGGCTCTTCTGCATGGTAGGTTCTCAGTAAATGTTGGTTAGTAAATCTTGTTGGAAGAGAGAAATGAGGGAGGTGAGCTTGTTGGGTTGTCACCCAGTAGGCTCTTGTAAATGCATTTTTAGGAGGGCAGGAATATGTATGATATCATACATCAACAAGAGAGGATAGGCTAGATAGATAGGAAGACCTGGAAGCTCCAGGTGGAAAGTAGGAAGTGAGATGATCTCAGGAGAAGTCTCAAGGGAAGTTAAAAAAAGAGAAGCAATTAGGACGAGGAGTAGAAAGAAAGCAGGGAACAAGGAATGTGGTAAATGGTGTTCTTGTTTCTAATTATTGCCCCCCATTCTCTGCCTGTTGTCATGTGACTTTCTCACCCCACCTCCATGAGAGTATACATACCCAGCCACTCATGTCAGGCTTTGGCATGTGACTAGCTCTAGCCTTTGGAGTGTGAGCTAAAGTGATACAAATTACATCTGAGCAGAAGTTTTTTTGTTTTTGTTTTTCTGTTGAGTTCAAACTCATGCTTGCAAAGTTGATGCTCTATAGCTTGAGCCACACCTCCAGTCCTGAGCAGAAGTTTTAAGAAACATCTTATAGTTTTAAGAAACATCATCTGCTGTTATTACTCTTTTCTCTCTACCAGCCAGGATCCTCAAATGAAGACAACAGGTAGAGCAGAAACAAAGCTAACTCTTGGAAGCCTGCAGCCTGTCACATGAGCAAGAAATAAATTTTTATTGTTTAAGTCCAGAGATTTGGGGGTGGGTTGGTTGTAACTGCAGTTTAACCTAGCAAATTCTTACTAAAATGCAGTTGGGAGGCTGGGAGTGCAAAGTAGTGAGCACTTGCTTAGCATGCTGAAGGCCCTGGCTTCAATCCCCAGCACTGGGAAAAAAAATTCAATTAGGGGAGGAGAAAAAATGCAATTAGTACCTAGAAGCAGATTGTTAAAGTAACAAAATACAAATGTGTGGCATTGCTTTGAGACTGGGCAGTGGGTGATAAAGGGACTGTTACTGGGGGCTGGAAAAATAGCAGTCCACATTATGAAGTGGCAAAATATTTGGTTAATATGTTGCCTGCAATAACTTGGAAGGGGATGATATATACTGAATAAGCTTGTGCTTTGAGGGGAAGAAGCTGAGAAGCAGGTTACTAGTACTTCTTGATTGGTATTGGCTGCATTTTGTAAGCCATTGCAAGAGATAGGCTCAGAAAACAATTGGCCAGTTTGGCCCAACATGACAGTTCATGCCTGTAGTCCCAGCTACTTGGGAAGCTGAGGCAGGAGGGTCACCCAGGAGTTGGAGACCAGCCTAGGCAACATAGTCACAAAATTAAATAACAATTGACTAGTAGAGAGAAAACAAAAGACAGAATCCAGAAATTCCAGGTGCAAGATTAAGAGCTAGAACTGTTTCTCATATTCAAATGGTAAAATATAAAACTGAAAAATGCTTTGAGTGATAAGGTTTATTATAACTCCACCTTCAGGGAAAGACAAAATAATTGGGGCTTGAGGAGATGTCTCAATTGATTAAGATGGTACCCAGTAAATCCTGCTAGTTGGACAAGTGTACTCAGGGAAAAAAAGACTAAAGTAGTGACTCTCCCATAGAGATCTCACAAAAGCAAGGAACTTCTAATGAGGTCTAGAAAGACATGTATGTCTTGCATTGTGAGAAAGACTCCTGGTATACAAGATGACAGAAATCAAAGATATCAAAAGCAATTATGTTTTGAGAGAGTTGTACTGTTAAGAGCTACCAGCCTGGATTAAAAGAGAGGATGACTATTTGAGACTTAAAAATGCCCCAACATTCCTCAAGCAGGAAGCAGGCCAAGAACACTGCTTAGTCCCTGAGGAGGTTGTGGTCTCCAATGCCTTTTTAAACTGTGGCCAAAGAGAATAATGGAAAAGCAAGAAGCTCCCAGAGAGCTGGTCCATGACCCCTGGAGAACATGGGTAGGGTAATTCCTCCTGTGGAATAGAAACAGAGGCTTGGTAAAGAACAATCCCTATTCCTTGGGAAGACCCTTGCCACATCTGCCTAGCAGAATCTCAGAATTGTTAATCAATATCTACCATGTGTGTACCATTCTTCCCCTTCTGAGGGTGTTTGTTGAGGTTATCCTACCTGTTCCATTATTACACATGGAGTATGTAGCAGGTGCCTTGTGTGTGTGTGTGTGTGTGTGTGTGTGTGTGTGTGTGTGTATGGCATTGGGGTTTGAACTCAGGGTCCCACACTCCCAGACTTGTCTTTTTAGTTTATAGGTTTCTAGATGAAGAGGAGCCACATCCAATAGTCTTTCAATGATATGAGCAGTTATATGCAATTATATACATAGGATAAAATAACATTTGGCTGTTGTAAATTGTAACTGTTTCATCTCTTCTTCCTGGTCTAGGCATGAGTTTGGGGAAAAAAAAAAACAAAAAAAAATAGGAGCCATATCCAGACTTGATATAAAAACTATCATGAGAACTTAGATTTGTAGTATCTAGGATTTTGATGTTATACTTGTAGCCCAGGCTGGCCTCAAACTTGTGATCCTCCTGCCTCATCCTCTTTGCCTTGTTGATTACTGGTGTGCGCCACCACCACCACCGGCTTGATGTTATATTTGGATAGAACTTTCAGGGCATGTTCCTTGGAAAGGAAGAAAATAAATGTTTTGATCGAGTGGCGAACTAGGATAGATTGTATTATTGTTTCCAAATATTCTTTGCCCTCCCTGTAAGATTTTATATTCCCATCTATTGTCCTGCGATTTTTTTGTCTCCCTGTGGGATGTAAGACTTGGACATGTGATTTGCTCCGTCTGTGGAATGTGAGAAATAGAGTGGAGGCTTTGAAAAACTTCTCACAGTTCTGCCAGTGCTCATTTCCTTCGGCCATGAGAAGAAAACACCCCAGATAGAGGCTGCAACTTTAGCTTGGATCCCAGAATGAAGAAGACACATGAAACAGCCAACATAGAACATGAGCAAGAACTAAAACTGTTTTGCAAGTCTTCTTTGTTACAACAGCAACATAATCCACTAAAAGTTGACTAATATGGACTAGAGGCTTCAGAGTGCTCCTCCTGGACTGGTGGAGTGGCTCAAGTAGTAGAGTACCTGTCAAACAAGCTCAAAGCCCTGAGTTCAAATCCCAGTACTGCTAAAAAAATAAATAAATAAAAAAGGCTGACTGAAAAAGAGAAGGGCCTGTGGAAAGAGACAAAATAGAGCTCCTCCTCTCTTTGGCTCTTCATGTGCCTTTTCTCTTTTACCATCCCCTGTCTGATTAATGATATGCTTTCTATTGAAGAGTAGCTCAAGCTGCTGCTTCTCAGTCTCTCTGCACTTGTGAATTACATGTTATTTGGAGCTTTTTTTATGAGTTAAGATCTTTCTCCCCATTTCCTCTCCATACCTTTCTGTTCCAGGAATTCCCCAGGTGGGGCCTCTCTGGTTGAGCTCTGGGTCAGAGTTCTGCCAAGGTAAGCAAGGAGGAAGTAGGGAGAAGAGAGAGGAGAGTTGCAGGAACTCGAAAGGATACCACCAGTTCTTCCCTCCATCCCTTACTGATGCCAAATGCAGAGCTTTTTTACCATCCCCATCAGAATCTACCATGTGGCCCATATTGTGCAAGATTGACAGCCCCCAAAAGCTACCTTCCCATCTTAGTCCACTCTAGGATGGGGCCTCACCAAGGCTACGGGCAGGGTGAACAGTCCAATAGATGTCCAAGCAGGTAGCTTGGTTCTTCATGCGCCGGTGACATGTACAGCCTATCAGAGAGGTGTTCCTGAGTTGCTGTGCTGCCTCCAAGCAATCTGCAGACACAGAAGACTCTTCTGAGGGCAATGAGGTGCTTAGACCAGCGGTGCAGGATCCCAGGTGGTGGTAGGCAGCCTTGCAAGTGGGATTGGCCTGGCACTTCCTCCTAGCCTGGATACAGCTGTTCATGAGCCGACTCTCTGTGGGAAGAGAGTCTCCTGTGGAGGGAGAGACCAGGTAAGATTCTTTCTGGGAATACAAAACTATGAATTAAGGTAGGGGAGATTGCTAATAAATCCTTGAGAAAATCTTAGAGGAGCACAAAGGCCCTTAGGAATAAGTGTGGAGGGAAAGAAGCCCTCTGGACTTCTGCACAAAGTAGACCAGGCCCAAGAGGAGATGGGGTCTGAAGAGGTTGCTCAGCAACTGGAGGAGGCCAGTTGCTTAGGCTGATGACCTTGCCAGGCACAGGGGAAGAGGGCCACGGACAGAGCTGTGACACAGGCAGGGCTAGCATCATCACCAGAGAGCTGAGAATGTACAAGGGAATGCTAAATGAGAGTTAGCAACAACTTTAAATTTTTCATTAAAAAAAATCACTTAAAAATGCCTTAAAGTGGGAACTGGATTTAGGATGGGTAGCTATTTCCAGAAGGGGGAAAAAAAGTGTAATTTGACCTCATTGCTCACTCAGAAATGCCCAATTGGTTGTTTCTCAGGCCTGGATGAAATCCCTGCATTCTAGGACTTAGGGTCCCCATCATGTAATAGAACCCCATTTTTAAAGCAAAAAAAAAAAAAAATCTAGCAGTCATTCTTACCTCTTTTCCTTTACATTCTGTGTTCAATCCAACAAATCCTGTCAATGCCACAATATATCTGAAATCTGTCCACTCTCCTCCATGTCTGTCTCTGCCTCCTTAGCAAGGCCTCCTTGATGGATTCCCTAATTCTCCAAACCCCTTCTCTCACATTATTGGATGTTTTTTTTTTTTTTGGTGGAACTGAGGTTTGAACTCAGGGCTTCGTGCTTGCAAAGCAGGTACTCTACTGCTTGAGCCACACCTAAAGTTCATTTGCTTTTGCTTTTTTTTTTTTTTTTTTTGCAGTACTAGGGTTTGAACTCAGGACCTACACCTTGAGCCACTCCACCAGCTCTTTTTTGTGATGGTTTTTTTCTTTTTTTTTTTTACATGAAGTAGGATTTATTAGAGAGAAAGGAAAGGCTACAGCTAGAGCAGTGCAGCGGAGCCTAGAAACCGGTGGCTCCATGTGATGGCTTTTTTTCAAGATAAGATCTCTCAAACTATTTGTCCAGTCTGGCTTCAAACCTTGCTCCTGACCCCTGCTTCCTAGGTAGCTAGGATTACAGGTGTGAGCCAGCACCCAGAGTTCTAGTTATTTTCGAGATGGGCTCTCACAAACTATTTGCCTGGAATGCTCTGGAACCTCTGTTCTTGGGATCTCAGTGTCTCAAGTAGCTAGGATTACAGGTGTGAGCCACTGGTACCCGTCTCCCAGTCCAGAATTTTTTTTTTTTTTTTTGGTGGTACTGGGGTTTGAACTCAGGGTCTCACACTTGCTAGGCAGGTGCTCTACCACTTGAGGCACTCTGCCAGCCCTATTTTGTATTGAGTATTTTGAGATATCTCTCAAACTGTTTGCCCGAGCTGGCTTCAAACCCAGTTCTTCCTAATCTCTGCCTCCTGAGTAGCTAGGATTAGAGGCATGAGCCACTGGTGCCCAGCAAAATGATTTTTTTTTTTTTTTGTAGTACTGAGGCTTGAACTCAGGCCCTTCACCTTGACCCACACTACCAGCCCTATTTTTGTGAAGGGTTTTTCAAGATAGGATCTCAGGCTGGCTTCGAACTGCAACCCTCCTGATCTCTGCCCCTGAGTGGCTAGGGTTATAGGCATGAGCTAACGGTGGCTGGCAAAATTATTATTATTATTATTATTATTATTATTATTATTTTTGTGGTACAGGGGTTTAAACTCAGGGCTATTGACCCATCCCACCAGCCTGTTTTTGTGAAGGTTTTTTTCAAAATAGGGTCTCATGAACTATTTGCTCAGGCAGCTGAGATCCTCCTGATCTCTGCTTCTTGAGTAGCTAGGATTATAGGCGTGAGCCACTAGGCCACTTTTTTTGATTTTTTAATTGACTCTCCTTCAAGACTTCTGTGTTTCTCTTACCACTATTTTATCTCCAGTGCCTAAATGGTTTGTTCATTGTGAGTTTCTCCTAATTAAGGAATAAACAAAAGAATGACAGGAACATTCTATAATATACTTCTATAACTTCTCTGGGCTCCTTTCTTCTACTTATAACCAAAAAGCCCCCAAATTGGGAGGGACCTCAGGCTTCAGTTAGTTCAACCTCTAATCAAATTACGATCAGCTAGATTACTTATTAAAAATGCAGATTTCTGATCTCCACCAAGATTTACTAAATCAGAATCTCTGGTGATAAAACCTGGAAGTCTGAATTTTGCCAAGTTTGATGGAATTTTTATGTTCTCTAAAGCTTAAGAGCTGGTTTCATATCCAATGCATAAAGACAGGATTAGTAGTACTGATTTTTCCTTTTGTTTCAGGTTCCAGTATGACACAGTTTGGCATTGTTACTGTATTTACATAATTTTTTGATATTTTGTTCTTGGATTTTTTTAAATTAATTTCAATTTTTAAAATATTGTGTTAAAATATTATCTATCAAAACTGGGCATGGTGGCACACATCTGTAATCTGAGCACTCAGGAGGCTGAGACAGGAGGGTCACCAGTTTGAAACAAGACCATGTCTCACCAGCACACAGCTGGTGGCTCACACATGTTATCCTAGCTATGTGGGAAACTGAGATCAAGAAGATTGAAGTCCAAGGGTAGCCCAGGCAAATAGTTCCTGAGACCCCCCCCCATCTCCAAAATAAGCACAAAATGGACTGGAGGCGTGGCTCAAGCAGTAGAGCACCTGCCTAGCAAGCATGTAGTCCTGAGTTCAAACTCCAGTACCACCAAAAAAAGCATGAAGCCCTGAGTTCAAACTCTAGTCCCACAAAAAAGTTAATTCACTTAAAAAACCAAGCCAGGTGCTGGTGGCTTGTTTTTTAAAATTAATCCTAGCTACTCAGGAGGCAGAGCAGGAGGATCTTGGTGCGAATAAGCCTGTGCAAATAAGCCCTTCACAAAAACAGGGCTGGTGGAGTGGCTCAAGGTGAAGGCCCTGAGTTCAAACCCCAGTACTGCAAAATAAATAAATGAATAAAAATGAAAAACAACAAATACATACACATCCAAACATCCTGCCTAGGACAATTTCTTTCACTTTCTGGACCTTAGTGTCTTCAAATGTAAAATGGGGGGTTAGATTAAATCAGAGTTTCTCAATGGAGGGAATGGAAGAGGGAGGACACACTGTATTGGGGGTATACAGAATTTCTGAAGAGAATATATATATTTCAAAGAAGTGCAGTGCAGTGGCACATTCCTGTAGTTGAGTTACTTGGGAAGCTGAGGCAGGAGAATCATTTGAGTCCAGGAACTCAAGGACAGCCTGGGCAACATAACGAAACTCTGTCTCAAACAAACAAACAAACAAAAACAGGACAGGGGGTGTATCTCAGTAGTAGAGCACTTGCCTTGCATATATGCAGCCTTGGGCTCAATCCCCAGAACTGTTTTCAAAAAGAAAGTAAAAAAAAGGTTGGCCAAGATTGCTCACACCTGTAATCCCAGCTACTTGAGAGATGACGATCTGGAGGATTGTGGTTTGAGGCCAGTCCAGGCAAAGAGTTCACGAGACTGCATCTCTAACAGTATTTGGGGCCTGCGCCCGTGATCCCAGCTACCTGGGACTTTGGTAAGTAGGAAGACTAGATCTGAAGTTGGCCCAGGACAAAAATATGAGATTCTATTGGAAAAGTAACTAAAGTAAAAAGGGATAGGGGTGTGGCTCAAGTGATAGAGCTTCTGTCTAGCAAGGCCCTGAGTTCAAACCCCAGTATTTAAAAAAAAAAAAAAAAAAGCTTTGGAAAAGAATATTTAAGGAAGGTTTGAGATTTTTAAAATCTTTACCAGAAGGGGGATATGGATTTAAATAGACTGAAAAAGTCTAAAATGTTTAAGGTGCTACTATTGCAGGTAGGTACCTAGTAAGTGGTTGCTGAAAGAAGTGTAGTAAGTTCAAACCTTATTGCTGTCACTGGATTAAGCAAATATTTAACTGAACTAAATATTTAACCATAACCATTTTCAAAAGAAAACCTGTTTAGTTTCTTACCTGGTAGTTCACCAAGTTTGAGCCATGGTGGATTTTGGGGCATTCCAGCTCAACAAAGAACTTGGGGGATATGTTAAATTTCATCACAACAGGGTAGAACTTGTGTTTCCTGTATTGAAAAACAGCTTGATTTGGGGCAAAGATCACAAATTGGTCCAGTGCATAGATGTTTTCATTAATTGATACAGTTGACACAGTATTTCTCTTTTTTCTCTCTCTTTCTTTCTTCCTCTCTCTCTCTCTCTCTCTCTTTTTCCTGTGCTAGAAATGGAACCCAGGACCTCACCTATGTTAGACAAGTGCAATTCCCCACTTCCTTCCTTCCTTCCTTCCTTCCTTTCACCACTTTTACATAAAAAATGGTATTTTATTAAAGTTATAGTTAGTGGCCATTTAAAAAAACAGAAGAGGCCAGGAGCTGATGGTTTATGCTGAAATCAGGATGATTACAGTTCGAGGCCAGCCCAGGGCAAATAGTTTGAGAGACCTCCACCAAAATCCCCAGACCAAAATGGGCTGAAGGTATGGATCAAGCAGTAGAGCACCTGTGCCTGTTTTGCAAGTGAGAAGCTCTGAGTTCAAACCCTAGTCCTATGAAAAAAAAAAAAAGAAAAGGCCAGGTGTGGTGGTACATACCTAAAATCCTGGCTACAGGGAGGCAGAGGTCTGAGGCCATATCTGGCAAAAACAGGAGACTTTACCTAAAAGCAAAAAGGACTGAGAGTGTGTCTCAAGTAGTAGGGTTCAAGGCAAAGCCCTGAGTTCAAACCCCAGTACTGTTACAAAAATAAAACAAAAACAAAAAGACTTCCAGAAGATCAGATATACATGTATAGGACTATCACAATGAAATCTTTCCCACTGTATGATTGATTAATCTGCACTAATAAAAAGAAAAATTTTGGAGCTACCGGCTTCCGGGCTCTGCTGCACTTCTCTAGCTGTAGCCTTTCCTTTCCCTCTAATAAATCCCACTTTTTATAAAAAAAAGAAAAATTTCACATGAAACTATGGATTTTCAATGTCTTTTGGAAGAGTGCTTCACTCAGGCCCACATGCCCACAAAGTAACAACTGGAGTTGAATAATGGCTGCCCCCGTTTAGGCAAGTCACACCTTTTCCAATTTATTACAGTCCCTATATTCTCTACTATACTTTCCTCACTTCCTTATTCATGCTGCCACTGATCTATGTTTCCTACTGATAGTCAGCAGCCTGGCTTCTTGACTTGATTTTCTTCTTCCTGAAAATGAGTAACTGCAAATAGACTATGTTCTGGGACATCTGATCCTCGTGTTTCTCCCCAATGAGGTCCCTAGCATGGGTACCCATTTTATGGAGGGATGAACATAGAAAAATAACATGTAGCAAGTGAAGCTAGGTCAAGGTTAAGCCAGGAGTGGTGGGTGGTGCATGCCTCTAATCCCAGTACTGGGGAAGCTGAGGCAGGAGGATCTCAAGTTTGAGGACAGCCTGGGGTATACAATAAGAGCTACATCCCCAAGGGCTGGAGATGTAGCTCAGTGGTAGAATGCTTCTAGCATGTGGAAAGCCCTGGTTAGACCCCCAGAACCACAAAAAAAAATAAATAAATAAAAAAGGAACTAAGTCAATGTTAGAGCCAAGAATTCTTTCTCCTACACAGTTTAAAATGATTTTCAGTACGTGATGCTGTCTCCGAGTGAGAGGTCCCTTTAAACTTGGCTCTGGTGGAGCCTGAACAGTGGTATTTTCTACTGATTGTTAAAACCCTCTGTTGGTTTGTGCTCATGGGCAGCACTTGGCCCCACATGGCAGCTTCCGGATGACTGTGTTAGGGAATTTCCATGAGGCCACTTAATCAGAAACCATTTTAGTATTATTGTGGAATAGACTTGTTAGTCATTCTGCTTCACTAATTAGTTAATGAGGAAAGTGTTTCCCCCTGACCCTGACATGCAGCCATATCTTAGGGTCAGTGGAATATCCTAGGCAGTCAAATCAGATTGGTGATGTCTTGCTGCCCAGATTTACTGATGGAGCCAGTCTAGACAAACCAGACCTTTCTCTCCTTCTTTCCACATCTTTCTCACAGTCAAGATTGAATTTCTTTCTTATTTTCTTTTTTCAAGACAGATTCTCACCATGTATCCTAAGGCTGGCTGCAAACTCATGATCCTCCTGCTTCAGCCTCTTGAAGCGCTGGGATTATTCTACCACACCCAGCTCAAGATTGTATTTTTGCAGTACCAGCTTGTGAAAGGAGGTGGTGGGGCAATGTGTGTGGTCTCTGCCTAAGCTCCACTGTGAGACTCCCTGCACCTATCCCACTCCCCACAGGGATGGGCGTTTTCTCCAGCGATGGTGGAACCCAGGCTGCTGCTGTTCCTCCAGGGGAGGCAGGCCTTGGACTATTCCACAAAACACCTACTGTGGACCTATAATCCACAGGGCTATCCTGTGCTGAGCAATTTACAGGAGAAAGGCCATCCTGCTCAACAGGGAATTTTCTGCTTCAATTAAAGAAGTATATTCCAAGGTGGGCAGGCTGGTGGTAAAAATCTCAACCAAGTAATGAGGTTCTGGGTATTTTACAACCCTAGTTTGTGACAATCGGTGCTAAAAACTTTCTTCACCTTTACCTAGTTTCCACTTCCTCAATCCTTTAAGGGGATAGGAGAGTTGAAGGCCATGTAGAACCAAAGACAGTACTGCTGCTGATCAGATTTTCCTTGCCTCCTTGAGATGCTGTCTTGTTAGCGCCCTGACTGCAGGTTGTGCTGTGACCATGTAGATGCCCCTCCAAGGAGGGAAGAGGTAGAACCAGGAGCGAGGAGATGCTGGGGTACCGAGGCCATTGTTGGTGCTCAATCTATATCAGTTCAGACACCCGTATTAGGCTTAGAAAGCAGCCGCTTCCTGGCACCTGGGGCTTCCTCCTCCAGTTCTCCAGGCTTTGAAGGACAGACGCCCTGAACAGGAGGCAGCGGCACCCGTTCTGGACTGAAGTTACCTGGGGCCCCGCCTACACGTTCACCTCCACCTGCCCCTACAGTCCGGCTCAGAAGACACTTACCCTCTCCGAGTGGCAGCAACAGCAGCAGCAGTAGGACCAGCAGTGGCGTCGGTCGTGGGCTCGTGGGGTGCACCATGGCGGAGTGTGGACTGCGCGCTCCGCTTGGCTTGCGGAGGGCGCCGCGCTCCCCTGGCTCCTCGCGCTGGACTCGGCAAGCGAGGCTCCTTTGGCCGGCGCCTCCCGCCACTGCCTCCTCTCCCACCAGGGTCCCGGGCACCGCCCTCCAACTCTGAAGCGCGGCCGCCTCCTCTGCACCCAGAGCGGCGGGGGCGTGGACCGCTTAGATGCTGCTGTCAACTTCCCTAAGCAAAATTGTAGAGGCTCCGGTTCAAGACTGGCCATCTCCGAGGTCCAAATATTTCTCCAAAAAAAAAAAAAAAAAAGCATCCAAGCACACCCACAGAGGGCATACATTGAGACACTCCTTTGAACGTCTACTTAAATATTAATAAGGAAAATCAGGACTGAAAAATAGGCACAGTGTGTGGGGGGGAAGTAAGAGTGGGAAGGGGGAGGGTGAAGGAAGGAGGTTAAGGTGACGGTATATGGTTGATGGACTTTAAATACCTATATGAATTAAATAACCTCTTGCAAATGCTTTAAGGGAGGTTAATGAGGGGGCTGAGGGGGAGAGATGATGGGGGCAATGTAAATAATGTACAATATCGGAATTGTCACTACAAGTCCCCCCTGTATAATGAATATTTCCTAATAAAAATTTATTTAAAAAAAAAACAACAAAAAAAGCATCATTTCTCACCATCTGAAGCCCCCTTTTCCCAGGAACAACAGCAACCACCAGGAATGAAATCTTACAACAAAACTTGAAAGAAACCATCACAAGAGTACTTAACATTTGTAATATTTTTTTTCTTAGAATTGGCACATCTTTGATCTCATTTGTCCCTCATAAGTATCTTCAAGGGTAAGAGTTCATGGTTATTAAGCATCAAGATTCTGCAAAGATGGGCCCAGACAGGGGAAATGATTTTGCTGGGAGCATAACCAAGAACCCAGAAGCTTTACCAGATGAAATTGCTCCAAAATTCAGCCTCTTTGGTGTCATGGGGGAGGATAAAAGGATCATACTCCACCCCCCTCCACAGACCTCTCCCCCATAGTTTCCCCAACCCCCATTAAATAGCAGCAATTTCTCTGGACCAAAGACAAGATCACTGAGGAAAGTGACTGGAGAAACCATTTAGGAGCCTGTCATTTTCAGATGAGAGTTTAAGAGAGCAAGCTCCTCTACCAGATTTAAACTAGGTAGAAGCAGAATCCAGGATGTCTACTTGTAATGATAAGGGATATATTAGACCCGGGCCTGATTCCCATGAGCTCCCAGGGTAAAGATAGACTGACTTGGAAGAATGAGAATTAAGCAGTGTCTAGAAAGAGAACAGGGTGATGAAAGGAAGTGGGGGTTTCATCCCTTAACCCTCCAAATTGAACCCCCTCCTTGCTTCCACAAACCAGAATGACAGAGAGCAAAGAGGGAGGATATTGTGAAGTTCTATATAAACCTCTGAGATTTATTGGCTGCTGCCTCTGAATACGGCCATCCTGCTGTGGCCTCTGTGGGGCATTTGCAGATGTAATCAGCCCACAAAGAGAGTCATTCCAGCCAGGGGTGTAAATCACCCTTCACAAAGCTAGAAGAGAGACATGTGGCCCTAGATAAGAGGACTGATGTGGTCTCTCTGCCCTTCCCTCCCTTCTCCTGCCCAGGGGGAGCTGGTTCCTGAGCTGTAATGCACTTTAAATGGAGTTTGTGCTTCATTTTAATCTATATCTGCCCTGCCAGTTTTACAGTGGAGCTGTGAGTGTGAACATCTGGCTACCCAGCTATTGTACAGGGTCTGTTTTCTCCCAGCTCCACCTTTATGCTTTTCCAAAGCCCTCTCCCCTCCACTTAGGAAACCTGTACCTGGGGAGCTGATGAACTCAACTTTCCACTTCAC